CCTCGGCTCCTCCCTAAGCCGGACAGAAACAGAGGCCCCAAGCGCCCTCAGGAAGGCAGGAAAGGACTGGGATGGAGATGGTGGGGATGCTGGGGCACCTTCACGGGGACTGGAGTGTGGGGGATATTGGGGAGCTGTGCCACCCCAGAGGGTGGTGAGTGAGCAGTTACAGGAGGGAGACAGTATTGGAAGGAGGGTGTGCTGACCCAAATGGAGCCTTGGTGGTGTAGTGGTTGCACATTGGGCTGCTAACCTCAAGATCGGCAGTTCGAAATCAACAGCCATCCTTCTGGAGAAAGAGTTAGTCTCGGAAACCCCTGGGAAGGCGGGGTGCAGTTCCACCCTGCCCTACAGGGGCGCTATGAGTCAGAATTGACTGGATGGCAGTGAGTCTAGTTTGGATGTGAAAGTGGTTGACAGGAAAGGGTAAGAGCACCAATAGTGGGTGGGGTTAGGAAGGGGGGGCCTCTCCTCCCCCAGAGAAAGTACTTCTTGCCCATGTCTGCAGTGACTGTCCTGGAAGGTGGATTGATCCTCAAACCCTGAGCAGGTGGCAGTCACTGGGTGCAGAAGCACATAGGGGTCAGGGAGCGTGGTGGCACGTTGGCTCAGGCTTACTCAGACGTGGACCCTGGGCAGGCCCAGGGGGTGTGAGGCAGCCCCTATGAGTGACAAGAAGGGACGCAGCATGTCCCCCTTGGAAGGGTCCAGCCACTTCATTGCACAGATTGGGAAACCGATGCTCTGAGAGGTGGGTGACTTGACCAGGTGAGACCCAGCTGGATTTTCTCCCCATGTTCTCCTGCCCAAGAGCATATGCACCCACTTCACAGTCCCAGCTCACAGACAGGAAGGAGACAGTAAGTAACAACGTCGCCAGAGCACAGCGAGCATTTGCACTCAGGGCCTTTGACAACATAGTTGGTGTTCTCTGCCTCAGCACTGAGGTCATGCAGAATTTCCTACACTTGAACCCCAGGCAGTGTCTGGCGGTTTCGTTACCCTTTAAACATAGAGATGCCCAAGACACAGTTGTGGAAGGGACCCCTGGGCAGAGGAATGAGTAGCCTGGCAGGCTTCCACACAGGCCGCTTACCTGGCACCAAACTGTCTCCGTCCTACCCATGTCCCCCAGCGCCTGAGGTGCCCCCTTGTGTGCTTTCACTGGGCAGTTTGAGACCACAAAGCTCCCTGCAGTTGTAGAGGCCTCAGTCCTGCCCTCAGCCTTTATGAGGCAGCGCCCCACAGAACCACCACGTGGCTCCTGACTTCTTTCCTGAGTCCCAAAGTGGTGGGGGGTGGGGGTGGGATGGGGGCTGGTGAGGCAGTCAGCTTTCATCTGGCCCGCTCTTTGTGTGTTTGTTGCCCCTCACCCGAGTCAGTGAGCTGAGTCCTGACTATGGGAGTCCCATTTCTGGGTAACCTGGTGAGACAACTCCTTTCTTCCACATGTGGTCAGTCTTTGGCCAACCCAACCTGAGGTCTTATGGAATTTCTCTGTCCAGCCCTTCCATCTGTTACTGCCATGGACCAGGCCCTGCAGGCCTCAGGAGGATGCGGACAGAGAGTCAGGGTGACTGAGATCTGCCTGGGCCTTGAACTCAGAGTTTGAATGGTCAGAAGTGCAGGTGCTGGCTGCCTCACAGGTGGATGGTGGTCAGGAATCCAGACACCCATTGAGATGCTGAGGAGGATTTGCCCAGGAGGTGGGTGTCCTTGGGTGGATGGGCACCTGGTGGCAGGAGCAGAAAGGAAGAGGGCGAGCAGTCTGGCAGCACCCCATGAAGCTTACCTTGGGAATCTGGTATTTAGGAGGGATGAGAGTGTCCAGGTACAAACGGGACCCCAGACTGCCAAGGGTTTGGGACAGGTTGAAGAAGGCAGGGTCAGGCCTGGAACTGGGGCTGTGCTGTGCCTTGGGGGCTTGCCTCCAGGCTGGTACAGGACCCTTACTATGACTGAGTCAGAGAATTTGACGGAACTCACTTTACAGGGCATCAGGGGTCTTTACCAAGGAAGTGGGTGGCTGAGGAAAGGCCAACTTCTAGAGCAATTTCTTTCACTCAGCATGAGTCCCCAATGACCCAGAGCTCCTAATCCAGGAACCAATGCCAGCTCCTTCAGGCAGCAGACCCAGCTGCCTCTGGCGGTGCCTTATTGCAGCTTCCAGCATCTTCTCTGACGTTGAGTGAAGCCTGTTTGGAAGATAGAGCGTGGCATTGATTGGACGCCCGTGGCCATGCGGACAACTGGGGACCCACTTGGACTCTTTCTTCTCCTCTGCACCTTTCTGAAGCGGATGGTCCTGGCATCAACTGTCACCCAGTGATAAATGGTCCAGCATAAAACCTCCTAAATACCCGATAAGAGATACCCCGGTGGGAGGGGGGGGGGAGGAGGACAGGGGGGGCAGGGAAGAAAGATCAAACATAACAGGAAGCCCAGTGGGTAAACGGTTACTTGCACAGATAGAAGGATTGCATTTCTCTGTCCCAGGCAAGACACACAGCCGTTTCTCCTAGGTCCTGCCTGAGGCTGGTGAGACTGGGCATCAGAGCAGGGAGAGCGATGACCACCCTGGGGCTAGGGTGGTTCTCGGGGGTTGGGGGTGGGGTCAGGTGACTAACCGATGATGCAGAGAAGAGAGATGCCTTCCATGATTCTCTAGCTCAGTGCTTCTTAACCTTCCTAACGCCGCGGCCCTTAAATACGGTTCCTTCTGTGGTGGTGACCCCCGACCACAAAATTATGCTCGTTACTACTTCATCACTGTCATTTTGCTACTGTGATGAATCGGGGACCCCGGTGAAAGGGTCCTGCGGTCCTCAAAGGGATGGCAACCCGCAGGTTGAGAACCGCTGCTCTAGCGCCTGCATAGAGGTCTCCTGGCCACCCCTGAGAGTCCCCCAAGGCCCTGGTTCAAATCCCACGCTTACTTAATGGGTACCCTGGGAAAGTCCCGTGACCTTCCTGAGTCACTTGCTGTGTCTACTCCCTAAACCAGGGGTGGGGAACCTTTTTTTCTGCCACGGGCTATTTGGGTATTTCTAACACTCAAAGGCAGGCCATGCTGGTCAAACATTGCATTAACTCACCCCTGCTGTGAGCGATGGAATTGCTTCTGTTTGGTGAGGCGTGTGATGTTGGCTGGTGTTGATGATTTCGTGGGTGTCATATGGCCCAAAGGGGGACAACAGGGCTTACCTCACGGGGTTGTTGACAGGACTCACTGCGATAATGAAGGTCAAGAGGTCAGCACAGTCTTGCCCTCAATAAAAGGAACATCTTAATCATGTCATCCATAGGTAGGCAAGGCTTTGGGACTGGATGCAGGCTGGTTGGTGCATCCCCCTCACCCCCCAAAAATGTTCAAAAATATGGAACACTTCATGAATTTGCATGTCATCCATGGCAGGGACCATGTGAATCTTCTCTGTATCGTTCCAGTGCTAGTCTTTGTGCTGCCGAAGCGAGCACGGGTTAGTGCATTTTTCAGACCTGGGGCCCGGTAGGGAAAAAACCTCCTTCAGTCATCCCAAGCCAAAGACAGCCCTCCCCAGAGAATAAACCTCCTCCCTTGGCCCAGCCAAGGATCTTCTTAGCTCAGGAGTACCCTTGTTCGGACTCCTAACCTGAGCAGTATGCGTTAAGCACTTTTCTGCTCAACCAGCATTGAAGAAGCATCGAGTGTGTGCAGGGAGAAGGAGAAGAAAGATGGTGGAAGTCCTTGGGCTGCTCGCTGGATGGATGGCTGGGTGGATGGAGAAGCCCGGACAGGGGTGGCCCTAATCCAAGGATATTACTTTGAGGACTAAGATAGACCTGACCCAAGCCACGGTATTTTCAATTGCTTCATGTTTGTGTGGCAGGTGGCCGATGGAGGAGGCAGACCGAAGAAGAATCGGTGCCTTTGAACGATGGTGTTGGTACAGAAGATTGAAAGAACCAGGAGCTGTCACAGGAACCACCAGATCGGCTTTGGAACAAGTGCAGCCAGAACGCTTCTTAGCACCAAGGTGGCCACCCAGGGTCTCCTGTCCTATGGACGGATCTGGGGAGACCAGTCCCTGAAAAGGACACCGCATTGGGTAAAGCAGAGGGCCAGGGAAAAGAGGCAGCCCCTCGAGGAGACGGATGGACACGGTGGTTGGCACCATGGGCTCAAACTTAAGAACCATGGGGAGGATGGTGCTGGACCCGGCGGTGGTTCATTCTGTTGTACATGTGGTTGGAACCCACTCGGTGGCCCCTACCAACCATACCCCACTCAAGCGGTCTACCACTTGTATGTCAGTTTGTCACACTGGTGGCTTGTGTGTTGCTGGGACACTCGAAGCCCTGCCCTGGCAAATACCAGTAGAATCACCCTGGGTGGACAGGTTTCCAGACTGAGGCAGAGGAGGGCTGGGGAGGAGAGCCCAGAACACTGAGCCCTGTCTACTCCGGGGTGTGGCCAAAGCCGCATCTGCACCCAGCATCTGCACTCCCTGAAAACCACAGGGATGTGGGTGGCTGGACCTAGCTAGAATCAGAAGGTTCTACATCTCACTGAGACTTTTCAGAGCTGGGGAGTAGGAAGGGCGGGATCAAGGCTGTTTAGCGATGCTGAACCCGAGAGTCTCACCTCCTAAGTGCTCTGAAGAGCTATTTTCTGGAGGCAGCAGGCTGACCCGTGGGTGCTTACGGTGACAGCCACGGACTCATCTGTCCCCTATCCCATCCTTTCGTGGTCATTCACCTTCCCACCCACCGGCATTCACTCCTGGGTCAGAGGCCCCGGATCCATGCATCCCGCTGCCCGGTGGCATCTCCTTGTCTCCGGGGCGTGCTCAACGCTCCTCATCCCAGCCCTTCTTCTTCCTCATCTCAGGAGACGCCATCACTCTCCTCCACCTGAGCAGCCTTCTTGACACTTTCCCCTCTCTCGCTCCCACACCCAGTTTGACAACAAACTGGAGATGCCACTTCCAAAATACACCCCTGCTCCACCTGCTTCTCACCGCCTCTGCCTCCGTGTTTGCATCCTGCTCTCGGCTGCCCGCCTCCATGGTCATCGGGTGAGCCGCTGCCGCTGCAGCAGGCATCTCGGGTCTCCACCTTGCACCCCCCTTCCATTTGGCACCCCGCAGCCAGAATAATGAAAACAAAGCCAAACACACACACACACACACACACACACACACACACACACACACACGCAGCAGTAAGTCACATCCTGGTTCTCCCCTGCCTGAGCCTTTCAACTACTTTCCATTGGATTTAAGATGAAGTCCAAGGTCCTGGCAAGTCTACCAGGCTGTCTCTGATGTTTCTATTTGTGTTCATTTCGTAGCCCATCCAACTAGACTGGAAGCTCCACGAGGGCCGACATGGTGTCTGGCTTTGTTTCCTTCTCAGCTAGTAACTTCTGGCACACAGATAGGCACACAATAAAGATCGGTGGCTCTAACGCCCTGGTTGACACACTCTCTCACCCCACAGCCAATCTCTCGGCACCTCCTATACACCAAGGCCGGTGCTGCGTCTGAGTCTGATGACTCGGAGGGAAAGTCCTTGGCCTCCTGGAGCTCCCAGGTAGCACATATACCTCGTCCAGCGTCCCAAAGCTCTGCCTACCTGCATCACCTCTGACCTGGTTACGATTTGCCCACCTTTGAGGCAGACCAGCGCTGGGTTGAGGTCGGGCCTCCAGAAGCGTGCACTGGGGCTGCTGTAGGGTGTAGGGAATGATGGCAGCCCCTTGCCTCTACTCTGAGCTGGGCGCATTGGCAGGAGGTTCTTCATACATCATCCCATGTGGGTCTATCTAATGTTGGCGACACTGAGTGCTATCACTACACCAGTTATGCAGCTGAAGAGACCAAGGACAGAGAGGGCTGGTGACAGATCCAAGGTCACAGAGGTAAAATCCGTTGACAACCAGAGTTTATCGAGCTTTTCTTCTGCCACATCTGCTCCTAATCATGCCATGTGTGTTTCTACATGGACTGCCCAGACTAACCCTGGGGGGGGGGCGTGTTATTTCTAAATGGGTATCTAGGAGCCTGGCATATATATATAGTTGCATATACATATTCTATGCACACATCTATATATACATATACACACATACATACATATGTATGTATATATAGTTGCACATACACACTCCACATACACTTATACATACACACATGTATGTATATATTTGCATATACATATTTTATACATGTGTATGTTTGTGTGTGTATGTATGTCTAGTTGCACATACATAGTATATACACACATATATACACATGTATGTATATATAGTTGCATATACATATTATATACACATACATACATATGCACACATAAACATATCTATGTATATATAGTTGCATATACATATTCTATGTTCACACATATACATACATATACACACATACATATGTATGTATTTATAGTTGCATATACATATTCTATACACATACACATACATACACATGTATGTATGTATATTTAGTTGCATATACATATTCTATACACACATATGTACACACACATACACATGTATGTATATATAGTTGCATATACATAGTCTAGACACACATAAAGATGTATATATAGTTGCATATACATATTCCATACATACGTATACACATACATATATGTGTATGTATGTATAGTTGCATATACATATTCTATACACACATATGTATGTATATATATATAGTTCCATATACATATTCTACACACACATACACACATATGTATACACATGTATGTATATATAGTTGCATATACATAGTCTAGACACACATAAAGATGTATATATAGTTGCACATACATATTCCATACATACGTATA